CCTAGAGAGACTGTTTAGGCAACAAACAAAAATCTAGAGGCACCCAAGCAATTCTAGAGGTACCCAAGAAAAATCTAGATTCACCCGGAATAATTCTAGAGGCATCTGGGCAGTTCCAGAGCAACCTAGAGAGACTGTTTAGGTAACAAATAAAAATCTAGAGGCACCCAAACAATTCTAGAGGTACCCAAGAAACTCTAGATTTACCCGGAATATTTATAGAGGCTGCCTTGACTTCCTGCTCATTTCTAAAGCCATTATAGATATTATACGTATTGTTCCAAAAAGAACCTAATGAAAGTATTCTCATAGTGTTACGTTTACTCTATCCTGGAGTGGACCGAAAACCCTTTCCCCAAGCGCTCCAGCTGCTAGAGCTTCTTCGCTAATTAGACTAATGCTGGAAACCTGTCACCCGACGATTACATAACGTCGTATCTTTCGAATATCCAAGCATTGAAGCGAGAAGTAAATTAATACCGATGGAAACGCGAGACGATTCCTCGGAGAACCGCGGAATCCGGTTGCAAACAGTCAGTTTATCTCGTTACACGCTCGTAGGTGGCAAAAGGGGACTTGCTCGACCAAGGGAAGCCCAACGAAAGACTTCAGTAAGCACCGAGTCGATGCACAAGCTCCTGTCGTTTTATTTCGAAGAGAATTTTTCTCCTGAAACGAATAATCCCTTTGCAGTGGTTTTGTAACATTTTAGAGCATATTTTAGAGCATATTTTAGAGCAATCGTAGCGTCCAAATTACGCTAGAGCACTGCTTTAGGAGAAAGTGAAGAAAGATTTATTTGATCGTAGCATTCACTTGCTATAAACTGCTAGAGCCACCTGCTATAGTCTGAATGTTCAGCTCCAGGCCTCTAGAATATTGACAACTGCCCTCCCACACTGTTCATGATTATTGGGTCTTTTTTCTGTAAATTGCAAGTGCAAGTGAGTATTTTATGATGGAAGAACATTAAGACAATATTATAATCGACACATTATAGCACGAACTTATGCCAGGAATTTAATGCAGTGCATTTCTAGAGTCTAAAAGTCCACCTCTGTGCCTCTAGACTTCAATTCGAGAAAACATGGCACGATTTTATAGCATCAACTCAAGAGATCAGTATTATATTTTTAAACCAGCTCTAGACCTCTAGACTTCACCTCTAGACCTCTAGACTTCAACTCTAGACCTCTAACATTCATCTCTA